CTGTGGAAGAGCTAAGTTGCGCTACTCAGGGGTCACTTTGGCCAGTGTGCTGTGGAAGAGCTAAGTTGGGCTACCGGGCGTACTGAAGTCCAAAGTTCTAAAAATCTAACGACCCCACAGTCCTACGGGTGGGGAAATATCACTTGAAAAGGGGTCGGCGGCACCCGGGCGAAGCCCTTACAATAAGTTGACAAACACGACATGTGTATGCCACTAAGAGTAAGACCCCTCCAACCCAACTCACTGGACATTCCCCACGGATTGAAGACTTCGTGCACGCGATGGTGCAAAAAAACACCGAACCAAAAAATAACAACATGAATTGTAGTCGGTCGTCTCCAACTGGATATATTATAGGAGTGGTGGTGGAATTGAATGGACCCCCCCGACTCACCTCTATATAAGGGACAAACAAAAAAAAAACAAGGTTGGAGGGCTCCTGGTACAAGTGCGTGTCCGTTTGTTTATTTAACCACCGAATGATGTGGAACGCCACCTAAGTGGAACACCACCGACACCAGAAAAAAGGACCTACATTCGGATCAGCTCTTCTTCCCTTCCTTCCCTGCCTGGAGTGCTTCGGCGACCTGGCACCGAGTCCGCATGTGAAAAATTGGAATGAGGTTGAATTAATTTGCCATCTGGACCCAAATCCAAGCGGTGAAACTGCTGGAAAACTCCACAAATTCGTGAAATTCGGGAGACAAGTGACAAGACTTCAGCAGAACTCTGCGAACAAAGCAACCATGCGTTTATATTGGGGGTGCGTCCCGCACCCGTGTCGGTGGGGCGAAATGGGTCAAGGCAAGCGCAAATGAAACGAACACTTCCACGACACGTCCGTCTTCAAGTTAAGATTGCATTTCTCATTTGGAGCGGGTTTGGTGTACCCGGCATGTCTGAATCATTAGAACATATTAGAACCGTGCTACTTCTGGGCAATGTCAAGTCAAACAATCATTATAACAGAATGTGTCCCTTCGACAGTGGCTTCAAAGTGATCCCACATGATCCCACTCAGGTTTCACCATGTGTCCGTAGAACATCTTCTTCCCACAATTTCTTTAATCCATTTCCGAAAAAAGGGGCTCCACGACTGTTGGTTGCCTCAGAAGAACTTTGGAGCCTCTAAACCACCTTTCAGACCGGAGAAGGTACTTGGAGACAGTTGACATTCAATGAAAGCAACTCTCCAGTACCGACTTACCACCCCACCCGAGTTGGAAGACGAGACGCCTGCGGATCCTGCGGACTCACCCAGCAAGCCCATGGCAAAGCCTGGCATCGGCAAAGCGATTGATCTAACAAACGTCCACTTTGGGGTTTAGCAAGTCGGACCTGTGTAGGAAGTCAGCCACTTGGATCTATACCTCAGAATTGGTGCTTGTCCGAACTTGTGTTCGAATATGGCTGACATGAGTTCGAACCGTCGGCGGCTGCAAAGAACTCCCTTTTCGACTTGGATTTGGGGCCCCGTGGTCTCAATGAGGCTGCCAGAAAGGTTGACGAGCGGTCTCCTTTTTCTTCTCCGGTGAGACATGAACTGACTGTGCCACATTGGGTTTTTAGCGGTTCTTCACAATTCCGAAAACCGGTTCCCACCAATTCATAATAGATTCAACTCCCGAAAACACTTTTGGAAAATTGCAAACATAGGCAAACAAAATCAAACGACACAACAAACCAGTTCAAACAAAGAAGCCCTTCCAGTTGATTTTTGGGTACAACACGTCTTGTTCTTCACTCACCAAGTACGTACAATCCAACATTCTTGCCCAATCCTGTGTAAGTGCCTACGGCCTATAGGCGCAACCTGATCTGGAATTTGCATGAAAGCACCACACATGCTCTTCTCTTTTCCATGTTGCGAGCTTTGCATGATTCGAGGCTCACATAATCATTGATCTTCCCGACATAAGGCTCATCTCATTCCCAGTTTCTTGAATAGAGATAAACCACTCGTTTGGTTGATCAAACAGCAAGGCAAGGTTGTATATAATGTATTAATTGTTGCCACTTGTGCAGTAAATCTAGTATTTTTTCAGCACATAGATAGAACCTCCAAAACGACACTGCAAACTCCTCAAGCTATGGACCAAGGATATTTTCTCCCAGCAAGAAGCAAAGAGAACCACCCACTCTTCATGGCCAAACGGCCAAACTAAACAACTTTCAAGGACAGGCATTGACCTCGCCCCCAGGCGCTGGAGCAGCTCAGCACTGCATTGAGTTGCACAAACGCAAGCAAACACCCTTCCCACACGCTCGTGCAAGAGTGAGAAACAGTTTCCATCGAAGGAGCACCCGTCCGTCTTCATATGGGGAATATACGGGATGATATGATATGTATAAAACATTTCTGACTCCACGTCGAGCTCCGGCCAAATGAACAAGTGGCTGGCCAATAAAGAATCACAGAGATGTTACTAAAAGCTCTTCTGACTCTAGATCAAACGAAGAGCTCCATCCAAACAACTAATTATTTTCCATTTTCCCGCACACCTCCCGCCTTCCTCGTCCTTAGATACAGGCGTGACGTTCGGCCTGGGGTGGCGGCAAAATGGGCGGCAAAAAAAATAATTCACTCAACATCTAAAGTTTTGTGGATAAGGATTGTGGAACGCTGGTTTGTTGGTTTATCATGTTTAACTATTATATGATTATATGTAATGTTTATCAACAACGGGAGTTCAAAGAGAATCCTACCCTGCCCAGGAAAAGTGGATCAGCTGTAAAACCCTTTTGGGGATTGGTTTCCGCTCTTTTAAGCAAGCACAGTTCCTGGACAGAAGGAAGACCCGTGGTGACCAACCGAGTGGCCGTGGGGGGAGTCCTGATGCGGATCTCTGGGGAGTCCATCGTTCCGTTCCGAAGGCGGAAAGGTGACACCCTGAGTGCCAGAAATCCTTATAGGTAACAACGCTTATATATACAGTACATGGCGTTTGTGTTTGTGTGTCCTTTTCATGGTTTGTATTATATAGTTATATATTTATAGTATATCATTGGGGGTGCGTTTTAACAAAGAGAAAGGTATATTCCGAGCACATTGGTCTAGGATGCTCTAGGTCTTTCAGTTCAACCCTGAAGTCTTCCCATGGTTCTCATTGACTAATTGATCATTGAATTTCCCATGGTACAATGCCTCGCTGGTCGACTTTTCTCCACACCGCAGAACAGTCTCCCTGCGCGCGCCTGCAGAGCTCCAAGACAGCAGGGATCCATAGCAGTGCAAAGATCAAGGAGCACCTGGGGGAAGTGCTGACTGGGTTCGACATGTCACTGGGTGTTGACCGCAGTTGATGTAAGCCATAATAATGGGAACGTCTTCCCGGTTTGGATGGATGAAGATTCTCGATTAACCTAGTTTCGTAGTTTGGTGCGCGTTTAAAGGCCAGGGCGGCTGGGACAGCTAGGTTTATGATGATCAAGACCCATCAAAGACTGGAAATCATTAAAAAGATAAAAAAAACAAAATAAAAAACAAAATAAACACAAAAACAGAAAACCCGGTCAAAGACCGTCCTTCCCTCCATTTCGAGCTGTGTTGTTTTTGTTTATTGTTTGTTTATTTTTTGTTTCTTTTTTGTTTATTTTTTGTTTCTTTTTTGTTTCTTTTTTGTTTCTTTTCTGTTTCTTTTTTGTTTATTTTTTGTTTATTTTTTGTTTTTTTCCTAGGGTTTTTACAGAAAACCTGATTTCAAGGCCAGCTTTTGCTAGAACAGAAAAAAAGCAGAACAAATAGACGTGTTCTGGGTGCTTGTGTTAATTTTGTTTTATGTTTGTTTGTTTTTTGTTTTTTGTTTGTTGTCTGTTGTGTTTGCACATTTTGTGATTGTTTTTTTGTGCTGTTTGTTTTTTGTTTATTTTTTGTTTTTATTATCTTTTTCAGGATCATCAGTTATTGATTATTTATTTTTCATAAAGCTAGGTTGAGGACAAACATCCAAAAGAGTGTGGGATGTACAGCACATAGAAAAAGGACCTGGAATCCAGCAAACAGTGAAACGGGAAGATGTCGTGCACTACCGCTCGCCAACCAAGCTGTGAGTTCTATGCCTTAGACCAGCAACATGTCCTGACTCCTGACTTGCATCTTTTTCCTTTGAGTTCCCCAGGTTCAGAATGGACCCTCAGTTCGCTAGGGTTTGGACCCTCAGTTCGCTAGAGTTTGGGACCTCAAACATGCAGTAGTTTGAGGGGCTATATTGTTTGGATCTACGTAGTTACTGGTCTTCATCTCCCACACGGACTTTTGGCGCCCCTGGCAGCATGTTCACCACCAAGACCTGCCAGGTCGTCTGTGCTGCGGTCTGAGGAGACGAGGCTGCGCTGAAGCACGAAGAGGAAGCCAACGGCGGCGGTCGATGGAGAAAACGTGCGACGTTCGATGGAAACTCGCGAATGACCAGGTTCCAATCCGAAGAGGTCCGACAGGGTCGAAGGAAGACACCGTTTCAGGTGGTGGTCACTCACTGGCATGGCATGATTGAAGAACCAAAAGGAATTTGGGAAGCAGATGCAAGCAACTTCCTATAGCGAAGCAAGCCAGATCACACGAAAAGGGAAGACAATTTCATTACCCTCCCACCGTGGCGAAGATTGTTTTCCTCTGTCAACCAGTACTTGTCAGGATCCATGTTAGTCTTCCAGGGGGTATGTCGCCTGGTGGGAGGTTCCGTGAACCACCAGGGATGTGGGATTTGACGTCTCGGTCGAAGGTGGGGCGCACAAAGAGATTTACCACCCAGTGCAGTGCAGCAATGACGGCCATCCCAGATATCCCAGGCCATCTCTTATACTGGAACAAGGGGCCTTCCAGGCTTGATTTCTGACTTGAACCGTTGGAGCCAACGCTTCGGTCCGCAGTCTTACAAGGGTGAAGGTTGAAGCAACATGTTGCGTGGCGGGTGCTGGGTGAAATGAAGAGAACACCGAGCCGATGTGATCCGCTGGCACTCTGAAATCTCTTTTAGTACAACCCAGGATTCTCTCTATCACGCCCTGGAAAAGCTTGAACATGCTTGAACATATGACAGGTAGGTGAGGCGCGAAGGACTTGCCAGGCTGACTAAGTTGTTCACTACTGGGGGCCGGGGGCCTCCTTGCGCCTTGCTCTCCATTGGCTCTCCTAGATTCTCCCAGCAACCAAAGGATCACCGAACCCCGCAGTCGCAGCCGCAGCTGAACAAAATCCCAACCAGGATCCGCCAAAGGTCACCACCCCCACCACCCAGCTCCCCCCGTGAGGTTTTGCCCGCCCGCGCGCCCGCTGGTGGCCTGGCCGAAGCGCGTGAAGATGCGGATCTGGCAGAACAGCAGAAACCTCCGATCCGCGGCCAATCAAACGGGGGGGGGGACTTGGGTGACTTCATTGGGAGGACGGGGGCGGCGTGGTGAGGAGGACTGGCCTATGGTTCTCTCGTCTGGATGGGCTGTTCTTGGATCCATATAGGGCCAGGGCCATATAACATGGCCATGTTGCGATGATCTAAATGGTGTTCGATCTTGAGATTGCAAGGGATCGGCTTGGAAGTGACCGACTCGTTCTAGAGTCTAGGTGATGGATGATCTCTTTGGGCGTGCATGGTGTGCATGGGCATACGGTATATGATATGTAGCCTATACGGACTGCCTCACTGGTTTGTTTCGCTGTTCTCCCCAGGTAACAGGCGGTGGTTACCAGAATGTATCTATCAAGAGTTCGGTTCAAGGTCGGAAAGACCCTAGTTCAAAGCGCGTTAGTTTGAAGGCAGGATACTAGGTACAAAGTAGCTGAATTGCCGGTCATGTCCCATGTTCAATGGTACTGGGAAGGAGTCTAGCTAGCTACCTGTACAGTAAAAGAATCAACACGGCACTCACATGGAAGTGGAAAATAGGCCTCGAACACGTTTTTGTTTTGCCCTAAATTTCAATATGTTTGTCGGAGAGTACAACTTTATCTCCAATCCCTCTTGATCCAAAGTGTCATCATGGTCATGCACTTCTCCAAGCAACAGCGCTGCGCCACACGTGGTCACACAGCCTGCCAGTGATCGGCATCTGCGTGGTCACATGAGGTCCACTAAGAGGGTTATAACGGGTTATACTTCTAGAACCCTAAGCTTTACGCTTCTTACTCTGTTCCAACATGACACTTGCGGTCTACAGCGGATCGGATTGACACGTCCATTTGGCCTGGCAGGTACAGCACGGTCAGATTTCCACACCCGTTTAAGTTAAACATACGGCTTTCAGGTGTGGAAATCTGACCGCAAGTTAGGTGTCGACATGTTGCACGTAGGATTCTCAAGAAGCGCAACTTTCGGCACCCCAGTGTGTACTAAGCCAAGAATCCCTAAATGAGTTGGGTGAGTACAACCTGTCTTTAATTAAGTCTTTGGGGTATCCCAATCGTACTACCAAAAGAGATGCCAGGCTGGCAAGCTCCGCTACATCGCAAATCAGTGCTGAAGAGTCATGAGTTCTTTGCGTTCGTTCGTCTTAGCCATTGTTCAATACAGTCACCATGCAGTCCTAGCCGGTCAAATCATAGTCAACATGCAGTGGTCCTAGTCCGTTCGCCAATCCCGAATGGTCCTTCACTTCACTGTCCCGAACCCAATTGCGTCTCAACGGGGTCTGACAACACAGGGCGGGGGACCATCCATGTCTTGTCCTGGGTCAGAGTGAAGAATGTAAAAACCCTTGGGAATTGACGGTAACCCAATATGTAGTTAAACATCTGAACAAAACCCTAGGGTTGGGATCTTCTTCCAGCATTATGGACAAAAGAAGAATGCCACCCGCGCCTGAGGCGACAGCACTGCCGACCTCCCGCAAGGCATGGCGAATGTGGGCGCCTGGCAAGCGGGGTCTCATGCCTTGGACCTATTGTAATACTTGTCATACACACCCAAATGTCTATTGAACAGTGAGTCTCTCAAAGGACTTATGGATTAATTTGGTTTGGAGGAAACTGACATGTGTCGGATGTTTGTGAATTGGAGGAAACTGACCAGGACCCTTCAAAGGGGTGCCCTGTCTGGAAGCCTAGGCCGGTAGTGTGGGGTAGTTCAGCCAGGACACCCTGACAGGAGAGTCCAACAACTGTTTGTTGAACATGGTCTTGTGGGGCGAACTGTGGAAGGCCTTCGGTGTATTTGAAACTATAAACCTGCGAATCGGAAGGCCTTCCACACAGATTCGTTGCCCGGTGCCCGGTGCGGCTTTGACTCTCAGGTTTCGACTCTCTTGTCCTGCACGGCGACCTCCTCAACATATCAGGACTTACACACCATACCGCACCTAGAATCAATGAAACATGAGTCAGCAGGGATACACAAACTTGCTCTGGGGTTCTCAGCCATCCCCTAAACAAACAGCCCATCTCAGCAGTCATCTTAACACAGTTTGATCATCCTTCACGTGTGCTCACTGGTCATTCAACGGTCGCAACGTGTCATTCTTTGTGTTTATCGACTGAGAAAAATCAGAGACTGGATTTGATAGCGGCTTTGAGTCTTAAACCAATGTGTGTGATTGTGTGTAATTGTGTGTGTGACGAGCAACTACCATCATGAGTGTTTATGGTACAACTCCCATATTGTGGGTGTTGAGTCGTCATATTGTGGGTATGAGTTCAACCTTGTAAGGTTCCAGGTGAAGCAAATACCCTCCCAGCAGCTGGAGTTCGACACGGCATCCCCGCCATTCCCCGCCTTTCTGGCGTTCCTGCACATAGGCCTGAACCACCTGAGGGTGAACCACAGTGCGGGCGAAGTCAGCAGTGCGTCAGTCCTGTGGGTGTTTTGGTTTCAGGAAGCGACAGATCAGATTTACTGAACGGGACTTGAGATTTGATTTGGCCGATGATGTGGAGAATTGAGAAAAGAACCCAATGTTAACACCCATACTTTGAAGGTCACCCTGATTGTCCTGATTGAGATGTTAGAGCTTTACAAAAAGAAAGGTTGGCCATGACATCTTGTCCAGAAACAGTTGACACTCTTTGTCCTACTCCAGTGGCAAAGGTTGGAGACTGGGCGAAGCATACCCACGGAAAGTCCCATCATTTTTTCCGCATGGATGGTCTGACTTTGGGGCTTCGCGTGGAGTACGTCCACCCTTTCCACGCAAATTGCTCTTGCTCAACGAAATGATCTTGCTCAACAGATCCCTGGCAAAATTGCAGCTCCGCTCATTTCGCGCTGGACCGTTCAGCCCCGATATTTGGGGGCTACACCAGCTGCTTGGAGGAGTCCTGTCGATAGGCGAAGCATGGTGAAGCTGCAAGGCACAAGGACCAAAGATCAGAACTGGGATGTCCAAGCCCAGTGATTCAGTCGTGCAGAGTCCAAGCCTGCCTCGAAACTCCGAAAACCAGCCTGGTGCAACTGGTCCCAATTGGCTACGATCCAAGCAGCATGGTTCTAGGAATGGTTCGACATCATTCTACATCCATTGCATCTTGATAGCAATTGATGCCATTTGGACGCTCAGTTCCTTCGCTCCACAACACCCACACAGGCGCCCTTCTCCTCCGCACCGCTGGGGGAGGACAACGCCACTGGCCAAGCCACGTGCAGCGGATAGTCCACCGAGAAGCCGCAGAAGATGATGAGCGACACCGCCTGAGCCGATCGGACTGAGCTGATCGGAGACCATCGAAGGATCGGAGACCATCCTGCGACTTCCATCTACTAAGGCCATCTAAGGCCATATATAGTCCAAGGCCTGAATTAGTTGATGGCAATACCTAGCCTAGACTCTTCCCTAATGGAAAAACCTACCTGGCTGCGCCATCCGTTGGTCACCATCTAGACAACGCCGCCATCCGTTGGTCCCTTGTCCATGAACCGGACACGGAACCGCTGGACTTCCCCGAGCCGATTGAGCTTCCGCTCACCTCCATGAGACCGAAACTCCAGTGGAAGACGCTGGTAATGAAGAAGAGGCCTTAATGACCGGTCGACGGCAGGCAACGATGGTAGGGGCAACGTCAATGAGCCGAAGAAAATCAACTACATCATCCAAATGGAGGCAAATGGAACTTTGCTGGAAGCAAATCAGAGAAAAAGATGCAGTGTTGTGGCATAGAAACTATGCATCATCCTCATCATCATCGTCATCATCATCATCATCATCATCATGCCTTGCACAAATAATATGGAAAAGAACAAACTGATTCACCATCAGACTTCCAGTGGATGATAGATTGCGCAACATCTGACCACGCGTCTCCACCTCAGCCCTTGCGGGGACGGAGCTAAGTTGCAGAGCCTATGTCCCAACCCCCAAAACAATTCTCGTGGAACGTGACACCCTCGTCTCAAAGACCCCAAGAAAGCACCACTCCAGAAGCGACCCCTAACCCGCATCTCTTTTACTTTATCTGCCCATAGCGTGACACATTTTATGAGATCACATGTTCCATATTCTGCCCATAGCAATGTGGTGTGTGACATAGCCAATGAACACAAATATACGTTGGAAATCTTTGGAACATTTTGGAATCAACATAGAGACGCTACAGGCCGCGGCTGAGACGCTGCTGAGACGCTACAGGCCGCAGTCGAGAGCATGGCAAAGCAAGCGAGGCCCTGGCGTTGGCGGCAAGCGCCGGTGGCGTGCTGGAGCGCATACTGGGTGGCGTGCACCCTTTTTTCGTGGCAGAAAGTGGAGGAAAAATAGCAGCATGAAACTAGAGAATACTCTTCCTGGGCCCAGGATTCAAACAAAAATCTTTCATATGGTAGAGCCAGAATCCTTGATTAAAAATAAGAACGATGGAAAAGTCAAAGCCAAAAAAATGAAAAGTCAAAACAAAAGAAAAACACAAATAAAACACGTAGAACACAAGTCGAAACAAAATATAGACAACTGCTCGAAAAAGTCGAACAAGAGTCGAACAAAAGACAAGGATTCAAAACAACTGGACCAATAAGGTCAAAAAAACTGTCAAAAACAATCAACCACTCGAACAAGTCAAACACAAGTCAAACAAAATCAAAAACAGTCGGGAAAAAAACAATCAAACAAAGTCGGATCTGTGCAAATTGACATTTTTTGACTTTCTGAAACTTTCTGACTTGACTTTTTTGACTTTGACTTTTGGGACTGACTTGTTTTCTTTTGACTTTTTGTTGAGCTTTTTTTTAACAACATTGAAAACAGGCTCTCTCCAATGAAAGGTTTTTGTAATATGTCAATCTCGCGATACTTCTGGGATTGTACATGATTGTACACAAACAAAATCACCTAAAATCAACCAGTACCAGATTAATTTCCTGAAACGAATCAGATTCCTGGCGTGAGTCTTCATGGTTGTTTAGTAAACTGAATTCAGTGTGGCCACTTGTTTGAGTCATTTGTGCTTTCTGGCCTGGTCAGCTAGAGAAAAATCCCCTGATTTCTTCCGACTGCGATGCAATACATCGAAGTCGATGCTCAACTGCAGTCGAACAAGGCGTTTTATTACCATGTTTCTACCATCACTCTGGCACCAAGACCTTCAGTTCGTGACCGAAAAAAGAAACTGCAGTCTCTGTCTGTGATGCCTTTTATTGACCGAAAGTCCTGGGATCTCCACAAGGAAGATGGCAAGATCATTTTGATCATTATCATTGAAGGTCCTTATATTTATTGACCTTTTATTGATCATTTTGAAGGTTTTGGCGGCTTCTACACGACCCTAGAGTGACTTGCCGATCGACATCGGGGAGTTGACTTGTCGATCTCGAAGGTATGGCGTAGCACGGCCCACCCCACCGTCCCTCCGATGAAGCGGCCAACAAAGGACCGTCATTTCTGATGTTTTCTGTTAGGGAAGTATACATATAATTAATATAATATTCAGACTGATGTTTTCTGATGTTTTCTGATTTTTATGAAGTATACATATCAATATAATAGTCATACTGCTCAACACCTCTAGAATCATTTGGAGCGAGTCTCAGAGCATTTATAAGAAAACTCATCAGTGGTACTTGCACGTATCAAATTGTTAAGAAGTCTTCGAAAAGGTCCCATGGCTTCAAATGTTTGTACAGTATCCGTTTTCTCAGCAACCAGTGATGATGACGACGGCACATTGTCAATTTTTTGCATAGGATCCAAATGATCAAATCACTTTTCGTCCCTCTTGACTTGGTCCATTTTTCTTTGGCCAAAAAAATTGGTCTCCCCTGTGGTGGCCACCCCCCCCACTTGGTGGCCCCAACGGAAAGCCAACAGCTCCGAGTGAAGAAGGCCAAAGCTACCAAGGCCTCAGGCTCGGCGATCACCAGAAGGTTCATCACAGGGGTCATGAGAAGCCTCCATGAGACTACCAGCACCCGACTCTACAGGTCACCTAATTACCACTTTCGAGTCAGCCATACCAGGTAGCAAAGAAGACCGGTGGGAGGGTGTTTTACGGAATCAAATCCCCACCCCTAAGGCCCAGGGCCTGGAGAGGTGTTAGACTCCTGGGAATCAACATGGAGAGGTGTTACCGCACACAATATGATGACACCACCATGATTCCCAAACGCTCCATGTATGCCACATATATATATATATGTATATGCCATGTAAAAAAATGCCTACATTAACCCCCCTGGCACCACCCCAATTGATCGGCATATATATATATATATGGCAGTCCCATGGAGCGTCTGGGATTGGTAATGGTGGCGAGTTGCGGCGTTCTTTTTCTTTTCAATCGATGTTTCTTCCCAATGAGTTGGAACCTCATCTCAAAATCTCTACTCTCTATAGAACCATATAGAACCGGATCTAAAAGTTGGACCACAAACCCACCTCAAACCATCTGAAGGCCCTTTCACCCGCAACGAGCAGTTTTTGGGATCAATCATCGGTCGCACCTGCGGCTTGCCAGATGAACCCTATGGGGACCGCATGGATCCACACGAAAACGACCGCATGGACCAATGACGTACGCCCCACGTCCGGCTGGGAAGCCCCGAGCACATCCCACGCTGACCACCCAGCTGGACAGGGCGGAATTCACCACGCGGTTTTCCGCCTCGAAACGGAGCACACCGGAGGGCGGTGTGGGGCACCGGCACTGGTCACGCTAGTCATTCCAATGGATTTGGGTGGAGTTCGGTTCGGGTGGTTTCTGGGTTTTCAGAACAGGTGAATCTAGCCATCTAGCTTGCTGGACTGAACACAGTCCTTTTTCAGACCCTGGCTGGTTCAATGTTGTTGGAATTTGTTGGATGAATTTGCATGAAACAATGGCGATGAGACTTTTGCATTTCTGAGAAGAGTCCTTCTTTCAAAGGTGTACACCCATCACACACCCTTTTCGATGAGCAGGTTCCGCATATCTCATGTCAGAATGTGCGCCTCTGGTTGTGTCAGCATGCCTTGTTGCGTGTGAACTCCACTATGTTAATTCTGGTGTCCAAAATCTCTGAGATGTTGAACTGAGAAACACATGGAATGGTACCCTCCATGATGACCTTTGTCCATGTACTTTCTTTGCATGGTTGGAAAGGCAGCTCGTATGTGTGTATGTTGATGCGGATTATAAACACTACGTACCCCAAACACTCCATGTGCCCAATGTATACCTGCCTACATTGAATTGACCCCTGAGACCACCCCAAACAAGGTACTGTAACTATTCAATACATGGAGTGTCTGGCTACTACAAATGTGTTTCTCTCAAACATGTCAGCCTTGTCTTCTTCCAATGGTACACACTGGTCTACTGGTCATTGTCATGCATAGAGCTGGTGCTTGAGGTCTAAAGATTCACTCAACGAAACAGGTGGATATCGGTGATATTGCCTATAGACTTATTGTTATCCCAAGTATGACGCACTTCCAACACATCCAAGAGTTTTCCCAATTCCAACATTTCTATGACTATAGAATAGATACTTCATCTCGCTTCATCTCCTCTATGCAGTCTACACGCCCCCATGGCCCGCTTCGCGCTCTTCCTGCGCTCGCTCCGCACCTCTGCTCGCTGAAAGAGATCCGAGACCGGCCTCGGTGGGTGGACTCGCGACACGAGAGAGTGGATACGAATGTAGCGTCCTTGTTCCTAGTAGCGATGCCAGGAGCCCCGAACGTAGCTTCTTGTTACTAGTAGTAAGGTCAGGAACCCCTAGAAGCGATGCACTTGTTCCTAGTAGCGTCCTTGTTCCTAGCAGTAAGGCCACAAGCCCCGAACGTAGCGTCCCGTCCTCGCTCCGGACTCGGGTCGCGATGCCCTTGGTTCCGAACGTAGGTATACCCAAGTGTCCCGGCTCGATTTGGACATCCAAGGATCTCCCCAACAAAAATATGCCCAATGATCTCCGCCCAGAAACAAATGCGCCAAAGCAGGTGAAGTGGGATTTCTGCGGAGTCCCTGTTGGTGGTGGTTTCTTCGTTCATGAACAATGTGATTCCATGGATCTCATCAAAAGTCCCGTCACGAAGTTTGCAGGGTTCCAGTGGCTCCATGAACCTCACGCACCGGGCACCAGGCAGACTGGTTCCAGAGACTGTGGCTTCCATATAGTACAAATGGTTGAATGGACTGCGCAGGATGGTGGGATGACCCTGGTTTCACCACCAGGTGCCAGGGAGGGATTGCCAGATAGCATCTACAGACACTCAAGCCCACTAGTGTTTGGAAGCCCACATGTCAGGGACAGGTCTATGTCAAACACTAGTCAAGCGTTCACTCTGTCCCGGACATAGACCTGTCTCATCTTTGGAAAGTAAGAGACCATGTCAAGAATCGCAAAGCAGCACCATCCAGTCTGCGTGCCCTGGCCGGACTAAGTCCTATACACTGTTTCACTCATTACTCAGGCGTCTTCAGCCAGGACACCCAAACAAGACGGTCCGGGTAGACTAGACTTCCCAAACCTTCCGTGTTGTTTCTTTCACTGCTGAGCTTTTCGCTATACTTCATGCTTCTTCTTGCCTTCTTCTCGCCTTGTTCGTCGTCACCTGCTTTTTCGTCTGAGCTTCACACACCGGAGAGCCCAAATAGGCTGCAGAGCCTCAGAAGGAGGGTGGAGCTTGATGTGAGCCCCAAAGGTTCATGGGTCTTGTTTCGCCATAATCAGAGTACCGACTTGGGTTTCGACCAAGTGATGTCAAGCTGCCAAGCTAACTGCTTTTCGGAATGTCATGGTCATCCCAAATCCGGGCCGGTTTCCGTCCAAGTAACCATGAATTCTTTTCAGGGAGTAAGACATGTCCGTGCTTGCCTGCACCATCCTGCAGCCCACTTCCCCCATCCGGGCAGCTCGCGACTCTTGATATCCACTTAGAGAGATTGATCCAAAGGAAGTGAAGCTGGGATGTCCGACGGCGGTCCTATCAGTTCTTAGACTGAACAGCCTCAGGTGTTGGGATCACCGAAGATGTCTTTCACACATGGACCACATGGACTTCTAGATAAGAAGAGTTCGGAATAGCAACATGATCATTAACAACATACACCCAACCAAGAGCCCCATAAGGTTCGGTCGATTTGAATGGGTTGATTTGGGGGATGCTTGGGGATGCTTGGGGTGCCAAAAGGACTCATTGAACAGACCCATCGTCGGAACTGGCTGTTTTCACGGCCCGGCCGGCGAATTGATCCGTGCATGGCCGAATGGCATGGGTGCTTCCACCACCACCAAGTCATTACCCGGTAGCCCTCTGAAACAAGGCGACCTCCCAAAACCACAGGGAGTTCCCATCAAAGCACCTATATAGGCCTATAGTTACTTCATAACTACGACATACTACGACTTCTCCAGCTGGTGAAATCTGGCTGAGAACTCAAAGCAACCCACTTCTCCAAGCAGAACCCTTTTTTGCAGCGCCATGCGCAGCGCGATGACCAATGCCTGCACTGGGGTTCGGAAGACTGCTCAGCCGGCAAAGTTTAGGCAAAGAGATCACCACTCAAGGCAATACGTTTGTTGCTTCCTCTTGGTATCTCGACTGGTCATGGAGGGTCTTCTGGACCTTATGGGGCCTTCCAGACTGAAGGAACTTCAATGACCTTATGGGTTAAGGTCACCCTTTTTCGCCGAACGTCACACATGTCGCCGTCTCCAAATTCCACTGGTGACGTGCTCCCTGCCGTTGGGGGCTGGCCTCAAGAGTGTGAAAAAAACTAGTGAATCAAATTGATCTCTATAACCTATAGCAAATCGAAATCGAACAAATAGAGCTTTTCTCTCTAAAGTCTATTACAGATATTATAGCAGTTTCTTTATAAGAGGTAAACACACAAAAAACACACAAACACACCAATGTTGGAAGAACATGTGTTCACTACAACATCATTGCAAAAAATAGTCATCTCCGAAATTCTCACCATCAACAGCCTATCCATCCGACTGGTGGATGAGCATGCTCAACAGCCTAGCCCACGCGGCCCGTTGGGCTGGCTCGCCCGTCCCCCCAGCAAACGCCGCGCGGTCTCCCGGCCTCGAACTCCCCTTCGCTCGGAAACAGCGGCTCGTCGCTGCCGTACTGGACGAAGGCCGTGGCCGCCTCTCTTCAAAGGGCGGAACGGATGGGATGGTCTGGGGGGGGCAGCGGTCTGAGCTCTTCAGACAAAGGTCTGACCATATGAAAAAAAGAGGTTTTAGTTGGAAAAGCGCTGGTTGATGAAAATGCATCATGCAGGTGTGACTCCGAAAACCAAACACAGGACCAGGATAGCAACACCGTCAAGGTATGGAAAAATTAATGGCTGTGTCAAAAAGGGAAGAATTTACTGAAGATTAACGTGCGTGGAGGGTGATGAGCATGATCGAAATGTAGCACTTCTTCAGAACAAGCACGACGGACTCAGTCGGCTTATGATGTTCACATCGTATCAAATTCTTTGGAACGAGCATGTAAATGCTAGGCACTCATATCATACCCAAGCACTCCATGCATGGCAAATATGTGCCTGCATTGGTGTGCTTCAGGGGTCAGTGTTGACGTCAATACTAAACCCGCCCGCACCGACGGTGTTGAGGCGTTGTGTAGGCTTCGCACAAGCCGCAAGTGCTGGATTGATATCTTAATAAGCTTTTGGGGTGTGGGGCGTTTTCATTTTTAGGCAATGGTGTGGCTTTGATGGTTTTTTGACTAATATGTGTAAACAAATTGTCTGACTTCGGAAGAAAATGTTCGCGATGCCGGTTATGCACCTAGGGGAACACTGCATTATTGACATCTTGCGTGTGTTCGTCTGTGTGTCCTGCCCGACCGGCAGACCGAGACAGACATACTGAGACAGGCCGGCTCCGACAGCACAAGTTGCTGCTTCCCACAGCAGTAACCAACCCGTATCCTCATGGGGCGCCACTGACACATTATCCACAAAATCTGTGCGGGCGGCTTCTACCGCGAAGCGGTGTGAATTCATGCACGGAGTGTCTGGGACATCAAGCATACTTCATGGGAAATGACATGTTCTCGTCATCCTCAAGATCCGACTGCTGAGTTGGCCCAGCCAGCGCCAGCATGGCTCTTCGCCGCCGTGACTTGATGTTGGAGGCCACGCCAATGCTCCTCAGCCTGGGCGGTTTGTTAGCACAGCCACTCGGCTGTCGAGGCTGTGAAGGGTGAGTTCGGAGACAGTACTGAGCTGGGGGAGCGGGGGATGGACACTTGGGGTGATATCGAGTCATACAGTTGGTGATGGACTTCAAGATGACTTTGCGGACAGCCCGATGTTTCTTGACGGAACTGAATTTGAGCGAAGTGCAAAACCCACTTTCATCTTAGTTCCTTTCATCTTAATGACTCAGAGTTCCTCGGCACCAGCAAACTTCACGGGACAACTGGGATCTTTCACCCTGAGCAAGTGAGCGCCCTGAACCTCAAACTTACTCATTCCATGTGATTCCCCAACATTCTGGCACATGGATGAAGCATGGCTCCATCTTCCCCAGGCTTCCTGAGCTTTCTAAGGTGTTTAGGGTCTGGCATCGATCGCTTAGGGGGTCGATCACGACCGTCGGAACATGCGGGGGAGTCTAAATGGGAGTGTTCCTCCACATGGTTTGTTTCCATATCCGCTGAAATTTAACCACAAAAAGTGATCCACCAACTCAAGAGGTGGGGATTGGATCATTTATTTAAGATATCCCATATGTTTCCATGATGTGCCCTACTTGACACACACTTCCTCCACTTCCTTCCTCAGCTCCGTCGAACGACCGCATGCTCCGAGTCGTTCCGCGGTCTACCGTCGCAGCCGCAGCACAGACCTCGGACCTCGCCCCTTCCACCGGTCCGGGTGCGTGGCCCTGCATGTTGGCCGCGCGCCGCCGTCATCAGCATGAAGACGTCTGAGGACCAGGGCTCTCCTGGAGGGGTCGACGGATTCGACGGCCAGGTGGCAAGGAGTGTTGAACTGTGTGGCAGAGATGAACCTGAGATACTGTTGACACAACTGGAATGGCAACACTGGGATAGTGTCATACTTAGCAGGATAGTCCCATGCCCTCTGGGAGTATCCAGGTGCTATCGGACGAAAATGTCCGGGGTGAAACAGCAACAGAAAAAAAACAACTCCTGATTGATGTTCGAACATCGAGCATGTATTCCTGGTTCATTGAAGTTACCTTTTGATCTCCCAGTTTGAGGTCACTTACAAAGGCCTGTAGTTTGGGTTACAAACAGGGACTCCGTTCACGAACTGAGAATCTGGAAAACATAGGTTCAAGAAACGGTCCTGGCTTAGCAGCTCTTTCCCATGCAAAGGAACAGCAGCTTCGTCAACGTCTTTTCCAGGACCCAGACACTCCATTGTATGAAATATGTACATTTATCCCCAAAAACACCCCACTTTTTGGGCAAATATGTCATACATGGAGTGCTTAGGGGAGGTACAAGTTTTCAAGCGGAACACAGTATCGACTAGCGGCTATAGTGACATGCCCGCCGGCGAAGTGGAACATTCCGGTGAACAGGTTGAGGGACAGTCGACATGGCAACGGCATCCGGCAGTCGATGGCATCGCGCTCTGGCTGTGATGAGGCTCTGTCAATCGCGACCTTTTGCTCATGGCATGGCAACAAATATATGAGTTCCATGAGCTTCTTCTCTTTGTCAGCCCGGCAGCTAACCCTTCCAAAGGCTCGCAAATGTTGAAGAGGAACACCACTGCGAGTAAAGGTGTTGCAGGCGCATCCGATGCAACAGCAGTTGCCCCTTGACGCACGTACCGTCACATACCCTAATTTCTTACCGAGACAATCCCCGAAAAGAGTTGAAACTTCGCCACTAACTGGCTGGGTTTTGATGCGGGCGCCACGAGCTACAAACCTGAACCACAACGGCACCCTTCTCGAATTCACATCTGAGCCTGCATCCCTGAGCGCTTTCTCGATGAAGAGATCTTCGTGACCTTGGACATTTTCCCATTCATGGCTGTGGATCTCTGTGGATTGTCAAGTGAACATTTTGTATGTCAACTTTCTATATGTCTTGTAGGGTCGTCACTGACCTTGGACATTCTCCCAAATGCCTGTGGATCTCGGGTTCCTTTCGGGAGTTCTAAACGTGGTGTCGGTCCTCCTCGGCTGTGTCGGTGACTCGAATCTCCGGTTCTTTCGACCCCTCAATACACTGAAAATGCATCGATTCCTCTTTTTGAGATATGTCAACTGTCAACCTTCCATTCCTATGGATGCACAAACCTAACCTGAGAAGGTGATTGGAGACTCTGGATCCCTTGAGCATGTTTTGTATTTCACATCCACTGCCCCCTCCAAAAAAAGACACCTTGGTCTAGGAGGTCCACCAATCACTTGCGACGAAGAAATCACATCACTTGCGGCGAAACTGACCACAACTTGCGACGACAACAGCATCACCAGCATCGTGAGCCCCAGGTGTGGTGGGGTGGTGCGTGCTATGCGTATATACTCCTTTGCGAAGTGGCCATGCTGTGAAACGATCCGCAGACAGCACGCATGTACCTACGCACAAAGCATCACCAGCATCATTGGTGTGTTGGGTTGGTGTGTGGTATGGGCAAATCAGCATCACAAGC